AAAATCTTAAAAATCTTAAAAATCTTAAAAATCTTAAAATCTTAAAAATCTTAAAAATCTTAAAAATCTTAAAAATCTTAAAAATCTTAAAAATCTTAAAAATCTTAAAAATCTTAAAAATCTTAAAAATCTTAAAAATCTTAAAAATCTTAAAAATCTTAAAAATCTTCAAAATCTTCAAAATCTTCAAAATCTTCAAAATCTTCAAAATCTTCAAAATCTTCAAAATCTTCAAAATCTTCAAAATCTTGAAAATCTAGAAAATCTTGAAAATCTTGGAAATCTTGGAAATCTTGAAAATCTTCAAAATCTTCAAAATCTTCAAAATCTTCAAAATCTTCAAAATCTTCAAAATCTTCAAAATCTTCAAAATCTTCAAAATCTTCAAAATCTTGAAAATCTTGAAAATCTTGAAAATCTTGAAAATCTTGAAAATCTTGAAAATCTTGAAAATCTTGAAAATCTTCAAAATCTTCAAAATCTTCAAAATCTTCAAAATCTTCAAAATCTTCAAAATCTTCAAAATCTTCAAAATCTTCAAAATCTTCAAAATCTTCAAAATCTTCAAAATCTTCAAAAGCTTCAGAATCTTCAAAATCTTCAAAATCTTCAACATCTTCAAAATCTTCAATATCTTCAAAATCTTCAAAATCTTCAAAATCTTCAAAATCGTCAAAATCTTCAAAATCTTCAAAATCTTCAAAAGCTTCAAAAGCTTCAAAATCTTCAAAAATCTTCAAAATCTTCAAAGTCGTCAAAATATTCAAAATCTTGAAAATCTTGAAACACGTAAAAATCTTAAAAATCATAAGAATCTTAAAAATCATAAGAATCATAAAAATCTCAAAAATCTTAAAAATCTTATCAATCTTACAAATCTTAAGAATCTTAAAAATCTTAAAAACTTTAAGATCTTAAAAATCTTAAAAATCTTAATACTCTTAAAAATCTTAAATCTTGAAAATCTTAAAAATCTTAAAAATCTTACAAATCTTATGAATCTTAAAAATCTTAAAAATCTTAAAAATCTTAAGAATCTTAAAAATCTTAAAAATCTTAAAAATCTTAAGAATCTTAAAAATCTTAAAAATCTTAAAAATCTTAAAAATCTTAAAAATCTTAAAAATCTTAAAAATCTTAAAAATCTTAAAAATCTTAAAAATCTTAAAAATCTTAAAAATCTTAAAAATCTTAAAAATCTTAAAAATCTTAAAAATCTTCAAAATCTTCAAAATCTTGAAAATCTTGAAAATCTTGAAAATCTTGAAAATCTTGAAAATCTTGAAAATCTTGAAAATCTTGAAAATCTTGAAAATCTTGAAAATCTTAAAAATCTTAGAAATCTTAGAAATCTTAAAAAACTTAAAAATCTTTAAAATCTTAGAAATCTTAAAAATCTTGAAAATCTTGAAAATCTTGAAAATCTTAAAAATCTTACAAATCTTAAAAATCTTAAAAGTCTTAAAAATCTTGAAAATCTTAAAAATCTTAGAAATCTTAGAAATCTTAAAAAACTTAAAAATCTTTAAAATCTTAGAAATCTTAAAAATCTTGAAAATCTTGAAAATCTTAAAAATCTTAAAAATCTTATAAATCTTAAAAATCTTAAAAATCTTAAAAATCTTAATAATCTTAAAAATCTTAAAAATCTTAAAAATCTTAAAAATCTAAAAAATCTTAAAAATCTTAAAAATCTTAAAAATCTTAACAATCTTAAAAATCTTGAAAATCTTAAAAATCTTGAAAATCTTAAAAATCTTAGAAATCTTAAAAACTTAAAAATCTTAGAAATCTTAGAAATCTTATAAATCTTAAAAATCTTGAAAATCTTAAAAATCTTAAAAATCTTAAAAATCTTACAGTCTCAAAAAACCTTGAAAATCTTAAAAACCTTAAAGATCTTGAAAATCTGAAAAATCTTAAAAATCTTAAAAATCATGTAGGTCTGAAAAATCTTAAAAATCATAAAAATCTTCAAAACCTTCAAAACCTTCAAAATCTTCAACTTTCAAAATGTAAAAATTTTCGAAATCTACAAAATTTGCAATATTCCAAAAAATGTTAGGTAATCCCTAATTTTCAAAAGGCTGAAAATTTTCACTTTGAATTTTGAAAGCTTTTATAACTTCCAGGATAAACATCTTCAGGTTTTTCACATTCTAAACTTTCTGGAGTTCTTAAAAATTGCCCTTAACGTACATACTGAAAATGGAAAAACTCAGGTATATGGTATGTTTTTTGAGTTGCTGAAGCTGAATCTATAGTTCATTAAGCCTCATGCTGAGGGTGTCGATGGTCAGGGTTGGTCTAGTCTTGGATTTTAAATGATCAATAACGCACCCTTGACTGACTCACAAGTCGAGTCTTACATTTCCTTTTCACAGTGGGCTGTGAGTCATCACATCAAGAGATTGAAGTTCTTCAAAATTTTATAGATTTTCAAAATTTTTCGATTTTTCAAAATTTTCTGAATGTTTATTATTTTAAAGATTTTCAAAATCCTTAGAAATATTTGAACTTTTTACATAAGTATTTCAAAATACACAATTTTTCAAATATTTCCAAATTCTCGAAATTTTCAATCATCGGACATTTTCAAATATATAAAACATCTAGTCCTGTAAACTTGAAAATTCTTGTTTTACATTTTTGTGCATTTTCGACAATTGTGAGAACAACATTTCCTAACTTATTTTGAGTTTTTTTGAAATTTTTGGAAACTTGACATGCAGGCAGGTGAAAGACCTTGAAGGAAATTTCGGAAAGTGAAAAGTTTGTTGTAATAATTCTGAAAATACTTAAAGGCTTTCAAAACTGAAACGAGAGAAACTTTGAGGATTTTTGGAATGTTCAAAATAACCAGGCTGTTTCCTTATGGAAAATGGGTTTCGGATAAATTGCTAAAAGTCCCAATGGTGCCACCCCCGACGGAACCCAAAATTCCCCAACAAACGGCAATTAATTGGTATGGTAGGACAACATAAGTCTTAAAATAATATAATTAGGGAAGAAGCAAATCATACTGCTGCTAAGATTTCTCCCAGACTGGCCAATATTGTTCAAGGATTTGACCTTGAAGGCTATGGTCAAGGTCAGGTCAATTTTTAAAAGATGTATATGATACTTTTCTTACTCATTTTGAGCATTTCAAAAATTTTACGATTTTCAAGGTATTCAAAATTCATAAATTTTATTTTCTCAATTTTCGGAGTTGTAATAGAAAATAGTAAATTTTGAAACCTTACAAGATTGAAAGTATTGGATATTTGAAAATATGCTACAGTTGAAATTTTATAGAATTTAGAAATATTCGAAAGTGCAGATAAAATAAATTTTAAAATGTTAAGATGTTTTTATAATTTTGAAAGCCTTGAGAACCTGAAGTCAGGGGTTATATACTATATATAAAAATAAAAACATTTCGAAAATATCTAACGCTGTGTAAGGTGATAAATGTTAGTTATACGAATTAATCCACTAAAGACTTAAAACGCTGTACAGCTTAACGCAGCTGTATTTATGACGTCGCATAAAGAACGTTTTCCTCTTATTGACAAATAAAGTAGTAAAACTTATACGAGCAAACTAATACGGACAGGTCAGTCTATTTGCCCTGTGCGCAATTACGAGAAACTACAGGCGGTCTGTAATTTATGTGATTCGACAAACGATAAAAACTGCGCCGCGTGAGCTATTATTGACTTTTCGTGACGGAAAAATAAAAATTTACCATCCAGAAGGAAACGCAGGGTACATTTCCGTAATTCAATATACGACCGGTCATGTACTGCATACATTTTGCTGCATTTTATCCACCACACGGCCCATTTTTGGTGGGATTCGTGTTCACGTGTGCTTTCATGCAATGTATCCATCTTTGTCGAACAGCAACTTCAAGTCAGTTCGGATTGAACAATACAACGCTAGTTATATAGTTCGTACTGGTGTAAAAACTATGATATCTTTCTGAGAGACAATGACACTTCAAAAATCTTCATCGTTAAGAATATCGAATTATGATTAACTGATTGTTGATTTCAAAATTTTTGCCAGGCCACTGACGCTGGTGTAACAGGTGAAAAATATTAGCGACATTCGTAGTAATAAAAAAAAGCTTAACAAACAACCAAGCCGTCAGTTCCTGAAATGAGGAACCGAATAAGTAAGCGAAAGTGAAAGAGGGGGAAACTCAAACTATAACTTTGACTGTTGACCCAATAATTTTCTAGGTGATCTTATGTTGATATTTTCTTCAAGCATAATAAACAACTTTCCTATATCTCTATTTTGTTCTTGATAACACGTAGCTGAAGCGAAGCAGACTGAGTAATTCTGAATCGATACTTGGGGCAAAAGCAAACGGTATCTGGAATGGAAGAGCCCTGTAAAGGGATATAAATAATTCAGACTCGAGAAACAAAGTGCTACTGCATTCAGATAACCTGGAGATGGAAAAAATATGTGAGCGAATTGGGATGATACAGAGTGATTTTTAATGTTAAAATAGTCAAATTCGTATGTTGTTTTAAGAAACATGTTACTTACGGAAAAGAGAATTTTACATTTATGCTATCTATTAAAGAAGATAGCACATTCCGTATGGCAAATGTGCTACGGTCAGATTGGTAGAAATTTTAGTATGTTCTTCTCCATGCCAAGCTGAGCAAAAAAATCCAAAAGCGTACTTTTCCGAGATACAGGGTATTCAATCTTAATTAATAAGGAAAGGTGAACTTACGACCAGATATGATTTCCTTCATGGTATTTCTCCTAATGCCTAATGCCAATTTGGTCTATCTACCGGTGTCTGCCAATAGCCAATATCTCTTCCAATTTATTAAGCTTGAACACCATGTAGCTCGAAAACCGTTGGTATCAGAACCATAGTATTTCAACCAATTTCGATAGGATCCATGTGCCTTAAAGAATGGACTTGCAATCTCCCTTCTTTCCCATACATGACATGTGCAAAAGCCTCTCTCTCTAGTCGTCTAATGGCTATGTTTTTTTTTTCAGTACCCATCGTTCACATAGAAGCTGTTGCTGGCGATCCTGTATACCTACCGTGTGATATATCAACAGACGAACCCGGTGATCAAGTCCTTTTGGTGCTATGGTACCGAGAGGACTTAGGAACGCCAATATACAGGTGAGTTGGTGTTGCATCGATTTCACACTGAAAATTTACACTTCAAGTTGACTTCACGTGAACTGCACATATTATTTCCACCAGAAGGATACTCCTCAGCATCTACTCGAATGGGCTGACTGCCTGCATTGACTAACGTGTACCTCCTAGAGGGTCATCATATATTGTCTTCCGGCAACCTCAGGTAGAGAGACTAAAAAGGGATTGACGATCATAGCGCTATCTATGAGACAGTAGCGGAACCAAGCACTCTAACTCTTGTCAAAGTATGTCTCTAAATTAATTTATCTGTTTTGCTACTGTCCCATAGATGTCGCTAGGATCCTTTAGATCACTTCTGAACGCCGGAATACAGTGGCTTTTTAAGGTAGATTACGTCATTCAACAGTGCTAGAGACAACTGGAACTGCTGCACTGCTCACAGTTTATCGAAGCATGTGGGCGAGAGCAAATATATTGAAATGCCACCGAATGACTCTGAGCAAGATGTGCGACGTAACAAGCAGGCAGATGAACTACCAACAGATTGTTGTCTGCTGGGAATGCACATTCATACAGACACCTGTGGTGAGATGCTGTAGTGTACTTCCGTAATGAGATTGTCACAAATCGGACAGGACAGACTGATAGAACATGAACAACTAATCTTATAAAAAATAAACAATTGAATAACAAAAACTAGTCGAAATAGTTACTTATTAAATATGATCTACGAAATTGTTTTGCAAATAATCGAGAGAGCAGAGAAATTATTGTTTTAGATGATACCTATTAAGTTAAAATTGTTACAAATGGTTGGAACAGGTGTGCTACTCAAAGTATCAGTTCTATCACATTCACAATAAAACACTCGAAAACACGATTGCTTATTGTCTCGTTGGGGCACAGTGAAGGCAATTTCATCTAACGAAAATTCACATACCTTCATGAACCAGATTATACGAGAATGCTATTATAAAAATGCACCTTATGTTCAAAGAAACAAAATTTGCTTCAATATGCAGCAAAGAGTAACCAAATCCCCACCAGGAAATACACCCGTACTACTAATAAAATGTAGAAATTTCAAATATTTCTTTTAAACACGCCCGATCTTACTAATATGTGTTGCTATATGTGATAACTCTCTAGCATGATGAACTCTAACATTTTATTGGCTGACAAAACAGTGGTATCTATTTGGACAGAGAAAGACATTTTTTGGTCAAAGAGAATTCCTAAGTCATGTGCTTTTGACACTTAAGGCTAACCTTTCCAAGTATACGTATATATTCAAAAATTAAAATATTCTGTTTCCTTGAGAAGGGTACAACGAAGCACTCGTCAGCATTTTAGTTGAGATGATTGGCTTGGGACCTTGAAGATATTTTCTTTCCGGGAGTGCCTATAAAGACTTTCCCAAGTGAAAATAAAGTTGACATTCATGATGATGTACTTAATATTTATTTGAAAATATTCCATGGATAAACGAGAAGGTATGCTGATTACATACCTTTTCACGCTTGAAATAGCACCTTGTTTATATGTTCCATTATATTTTCCATGTCACTTACCACTCATGCCATTCATTTCCATTCATCTATCGGTTGGTCCTTTTGTCAGCCTGCCTGCTGACGGTTAGTGGGCGCATCTCTCAAAAAATACGAAAACTATTGTAACAGCTTGAATGGTAATCGCAAGGAGCTCTTCGAAATAGATTTCAACAACATTATATTATAGTCTAATCATATTATCTAATTTTCCCAAAATTTTTAGAGAATTTCTAATTGTTTATCCCAAAACACCTGTTTTCCGACCATCACTACTAAATTATTAAGCAATATATATATAGTTCGTTCAAAGAGCATTCAATAGCAAAATACACGTGTTTACCTTGCCGATATGAATCACAAACCATTCCGAAAGATAAATGTTATTTTTATGAGAAAAACAAAGTTTAAGCTTTTTTCTTCTAAACAAATTCAAACTCTTCGTATTTGTGAGTAATTGAACAAATGCGCCTTGATATTCGAAAAACATACATACTATACACATTTTAAAACAAAGCGGATATCTATAATCTTTTGTTGTGAACTTCTCACAAATACGAGATGTTGGAATTTGTTTAGAAGAAAAAATGTAACCCATACTTTTTTGCATAAAAGTAACATTTATCTTCCGGAATGGTTAGCAACTCAAAACGGCAAGGTAAACACGTGTACTTCGCTATACAATGCTCTTAGAACTAACCCTGTATATTGCTCAATAAACTAGTAGGGATGTCCGGAAAACAGGTGTTTTGGGAAAACAATTAGAAATTCCCAAAAACTGCCTGACCAATCTACTCCAATTTTGTTATGGTTATTCAGAAGTACAAATCCTATGAATTTGAAGAATTTGAAGAATCTGCGAGAAACCATCGTCGCGTCACTAACAAGTGCCGAAGCCTGCAGTTTGCCTCGGTTTTCGGCCATAGCTTTTTTCGCTATAATTCGAAGCTTTTTACGTGTGGTTTCATTTTATAGGTCTCAAAAAACGGGTTTTCTTAATCTTTGTTGTCGAATAAAAAGTTTTACCAGAATGATTGGTGTAGCCATTTCATGGGTCCATGTTTTAAATACCCCCTTGAACAACTTGCAGCAATAAAACCAAACTTTACAATTATTTCGCAAACCAGAGGTATTTTCGTCTAATATGAATTGACTAATATAACAGTTTACGTTCTTACGTTCATTAAAAGGAGACGCAGTTGAAGAAGCACAATTAGTTAAGAGTAAACAAGAAACAAGAACGTGAAGTCTAATAATTTAATTATACTCTTTCATCGATTTCCTTAGTGTCGTATGTATGAAGTAAACGTATCAATACGAATTTATCGAAAACCACTGATTAAAAGAAGAAACGGCGAGGCACGTCAAAAGATTTTTCAACTTTTTAACCAAAATCTACCTTACCGCCTTTCACCCTCGGCCCCAGGATCATCCCCTTAAGCATTTTAAATGACAAGGGGTATCGAGTAATTTCCTGTTTGAAAGGTCCTTTATTTTGACGTTCGATTTTTTTAAATCAGTCGATTCATTTTCGAGAAAATTAGAAAAATCTTTATTTATCTTAATTTGGTCAGATAGAAAACAAGAACACACGAAAATATCACTTTTTATTTCAATAAGTGTTCAAAATGTTGCCCGTTAGGGCGTGCCAAATCTACAACTCGCTTATAATTTAAAACGGAAACCACCAACATAAACAGCAATTCGGAAGATTAGACGTGGCAACAACCAATTTTTTTTCCTCATTCTCTTCGTCAACTCAAATATCCTGGGCGAACTGTATTCACTGTTATACCGGTTTAGTTATTTGTTGCTAAGAGAAAGAAATAATATAATTTGCTGTCATTTACCTTTGTGACAATCTTGGGATAGTGAAAATTAATTTATTGATTCGGATTTTACTTCCAAAATGGTTTACACACTTACTAGCCGAAAGAGTGGAAATGATTCTAATTAAAGTTGCCCAAAATCCCATAGGAAATGAAGAAATGAAAATATTGGAGTTAGCCGAAGACTTCGTCAGGCGAGTTGTGTCTTGTAAACAAATGACTGCAGCGATTGATGATAATACCATTCATGTACAGAATATCTGCTTCAGTGTTGAATGCACATTTTGTCTAAATGGATTTGTTAATAAGCATAACTTCAGGTATTGGAGCAAGGAAAATCGTCATGCTTTGGTAGAAAGGGATATCCATCACCCCCAAAAAAATAATGTGTGGGCAGGCATTTTAGGAATAAAGTGATTGGGCCATTGTTTATTAATGGTAATTTGAATGGAGACATTTATTTGGATATGTTGGAAAATACCATCAATCCGCTTATCACTGAAACCATTGAAAACCAAATCGAAGATGATGGAAACCCTATACCTGTTGAGGCTGAAATATATTACCAGCAAGACGGCGCTCTTTCTCACTAGGTTCTTCCGGTTCGGCAATTGCTAGACCTTGAAGAGGTTCGGCAACAGCGCGACCATGTGTGAGTGCATGTCAGAGTGCAAAGTGCGTCGGATGGCGCGTAGTAAGACCTTGAGGATGAAATGAGCGGGGAGACGAGCATGAGCTTCGGCAAAAGGAGTGTACGGATATCGTCGCTCAGCCCTACGGACGTACGAACTGTGTTTCAACGCTATTTTATTTTTATTTTGAATTGTTCACTATCAGTTGTAAATCGGCCTCTACCTTAGTAAATAAAGTGATATCGTACTAACACCGTCTTCCTACTCATTAACCTGAGAGAGCTAGCTCGGGAACTAATTCATTTTGGCGCCCAACGTGTGACCGGTGTTCTGCGTTATTCACTATTCGGTGGAGGCGAGTGGAGAACTTCTTCGAGGCGGCGTGCAGCACCACGTCTGGCAGAGCTGCAACTACGAGGGAAATAGGATTTTGCAGTACATCAACTATACGTTGCTGAGTAGCTGATCTAGCGTCGAAATCAAGTCGGCGACTAGCCGTCGAGAGCTTTTTCATATTTTGAAGAAAATCATAGTCTCTAGCATATTTTAATATTTTCTTGTTGTTATTCTGACTAAAAACATTTTTCTGTGTACTGATTCTGCATGGTTTAATGCTTATTTACATATGTATCAGTATTTGATTTAGTTTAGTTCTGTTATGCCTAAGAAACCGAGGGCTCAGAAAAACAAACCTACCGAGGTGCTGGATAATTTTTCAGGGAATATGGATTCCGAACTAAATAGTGTTTTATCACTGCTAGCGGCTGGCATGTTAGGTTTACAAAAATCCTTCGAGGGCTTATCGATGACTGTAACAGGGGGATCAGATAAAAAAGATGCTTGTAGCGAGAGTAAATCGTTGGATCAAATTTATTTATACAGGGTGACTTCGAAGTTGAGTCATTTATTTTAACAGTGAGTAGATCTGATCAAAAGAAATGTTTTTTCCTTTACCATTTTTCTGGTAAAGTTAAAGTAACAAAGTTATAGCCCTTTGGAAGTTTGAGTAC